TGCCCAGAGGCCCCATGAGTTGTCAGTCCGCCCCTGGTCACAGAATTCAAGGAAAGAAACGTGTGGGGATCTTCACAATGTATGTTTATAAACTACAAGATTGTTCAGATTAACAGAAGTACGTTACAAATAATTGAGATACAATGTGGAAATGAATATATGATTTTGACCATAGATACTGTTTAGAGCAAACATAGGATATGGTCCAACTGACATTCTGGCTCACCATCACAAACTCTAAGTGCTGGCTTCGCAAGGTCTATTCTTCCCCCCATTACTAAATTAAAATGGAAAAAGCCACAGATCTATCGTGTTTTTTTTTCCTTTTCTTCAAAGAGCTTTTTTGCAACATGAGCATATTTACAAAACCATAGCTTTTTGCCATACTTTGTCCGCACTGACGCGTTTCACCCCGTTATGACAAAGCCCCTGTCAGGGTGAAATGTGTCACAGAAGAGAACATTTGATTTTAGAATGGATGGGCTTTCCTGAACAAACACCCCATCCACTGTTAGAAACTTTTGTTTGAGAAAAACTTTCTATCCTTCAAATTTTCTTTATACAATATTGTGAAAATAAACATCATTGTGACCCCACTAACAATTAGAAAATGAAATGCACATTCCTAAAGAGAAACATTTTCAATTAAATCCTACTTGTGTGTGGCCAGCTTAAGGGTACTTGGACACAGAACTGATGGATCAACATCAGATATTCCTGGCATAGAAAAAAAAACTTGAGGATGGGCTGTATAGCACTGGTGTGTATTTGTGCTTATACGTACACATATGCACATTAAAATACTGACTAACAATGCAGATTTTTGTAATTTTTCTTTTCTTTTTCAATTGTTTTTATTGTTTTACATAGTTAGTCTGGCCGAAAAAAGACAAAAGTCCATGCAGTTCAACCATTAGTAAAACAAAAGGTTACAAACCGTCATTAGAAGTAGAGGTTTAAGTGAGATACAATGTAGAGGTTGTAGAAACAATGTATACACAAAACCCAGCATACTTTATCACAAGGAATGATATGAAAAAACAGGAATTTTGGTGCCCCAATTGTTTCTCCCGTTCAAAATTGCTAAAAGGCGCTCAAATTAAAGTCCTTGCATAAGATGGACAATAAGCAGATAACTACCTTTATCTACCTTTATATATATATATATATGGTTACAAACCATCATTAGAAGTAAAGGCTTGAGTGAGACTCAATGTAGACGTTGTAGATACAATGTATACGCACAAAACGGCATATTTTTATCACATAAAAAGGAATGAGTACGAAAATACAGGAATTTTGGTGCCCCAATTGTTACTCCCGTTTGAAATTGCTAAAAGGGGCTCAAATTAAAGTCCCTGCATAAGATGGACCATAAGCAGATAACTATATATATATATATATATATATATATATTCCAAAAAGGAAAACCCACAGGAAGCTGTCTGACTTCAAGCCTTATAGCAGTACACAATAAATGTAATTTTTTTTTTTTTCACTAGTCTTTACGCACCTGTGTGTACAGGCCCATTAAATACAATGGGCTACATTTAGGTCAATTAAAAAAAATGCTTGAATGCCTACAAACATGGCATTTTTCAGATTGCCTGTACAAGAGGTCTAAGGAAATATACGTACACATATGCCCATAAAAATACTGACTAACGATTCAGATTTTTATAAAAAAAAAATTATTTCCCAATAGTTTTTATTGTTTTAGTAAAATCATTATTATTATTATACAGGATTTATTAGAAGTAAAGGCTTGAGTGAGAAACAATGTAGAGGTTGTAGAAACAATGTATACACAAAAACCGGCATACTTTATCACATAAAAAGGAATGAGTATGAAAATACAGGACTTTTGGTGCCCCTATTTGTTTCTCCCGTTCGAACTTGCTAAAAGGGGCACAATTTGAAGTCCTTGTTTGAGATGGACCATAAGCAGATAACTATATATATATATATATAATGTAGATAGAAACAATATATACTTTATCACAAGGAATGATATATATACATATACACAGATATATATATATATATACACAGTTGCAAGAAAAAGTATGTGAACCCCTTGGGATTACGTGGAGTTTTGCATGAATTGGGCATAAAATGTGCTCTGAACGTCATCTAAGTCACAACAATAGAAGAACACAGTCTGCTGAACATAATACTACACAAACATTAGATGTTGCCATGGTTTAATTGCACATAACATGTAAACATTCACAGTGCAGGGAGGAAAAAGTATGTGAACCTTTGAACTTAATAACTGGTTGACCCTCCTTTGGCAGCAATAACCTCAACCAAACTTTTCCTGTAGTTGCAGATCAGACCTGCACAACGATCTGGAGTAATTTTGGACCACTCCTCTTCACAAAACTGTTTCAGTGTAGCAATATTCTTGGGATGTCTGGTGTGAATCGTTCTCTTAAGGTCATGCCACAGCATTTCAATCGGGTTGAGGTCAGGACTCTGACTGGGCCACTCCAGAAGGCGTATTCTGTGCTGTTGCAGCCATTGTTTTGTTGAATTACTTGTATGCTTTGGGTCATTGTCCTGTTGCATCACCCATCCTCTGCGGAGCTTCAGTTGGCGGACAGATGGTCGTATGTTTTCCTGCAAAATGTCTTGATAAACTCTGGAATTCATTTTCCCATCAATGACAACAATCCGTCCAGGCCCTGAGGCAGTAAAGCAGCCCCAAACCATGATGCTCCCTCCGCCATGTTTTACAGTGGGGATGAGGTTTTGATGTTGGTGTGCTGTGCCTTTTTTTCTCCACACATAGTGTTGTGTGTTCTTCCCAAACAACTCATCTGTCCACAGTATATTTTGCCAGTAGTGCTGTGGAACATCCAGGTGCTCTTTTGCAAACTTCAAACGTGCTACAATATTCTTTTTGGACAGCAATGGCTTCCTCCGTGGTGTCCTCCCATGTACTCCATTCTTGTTTAATGTTTTCCTTATTGTAGATGTGTCAACAAAAATGTTAGCATGTGCCAGAGATTTCTGTAGGTCTTTAGCTGACACTCTGGGATTCTTCTTTACCTCATGCAGCATTCTGCGCTGTGCTCTTGCAGTCATTTTTCACGCCTAGGGAGAGTAGCAACAGTGCTAAACGTTCTCCATTTGTAGACAGTCTGTCTTACCGTGGACACATAAACATCAAGGCTTTTGGAGATATTTTTGTAACCCTTTCCAGCTTCATGCAAGTCAACAATTCTTGATCGTAGGTCTTCTGAGAGCTCTTTTCTGCGAGGCATGGTTCACATCAGACAGTGTTTCTTGAAACCAGTAAACCCAAAACAGGTGTGTGTTTTTTAAGGGCAGGACAGCTGTTAGCAACACATCCAATATCATCACACTGATTGGAGTCAAGGTTGGCTCACTCCTGGCTCCAATTAGCTCTGGGAGAAGTCATTAAGCTAAGGCCTCACATACTTTTTCCTCCCTGCACTGTGAATGTTTACATGTTATGCGCAATTAAACCATGGCAACATCTAATGTTTGTGTAGTATTATGTTCAGCAGACTGTGTTCTTCTATTGTTGTGACTTAGATGACGTTCAGAGCACATTTTATGCCCAATTCATGCAAAAACTCCACGTAATCCCAAGGGGTTCACATACTTTTTCTTGCAACTGTATATATATATATTCTACAAAGGAAAACCCACAGGAAACTTCTCTGAGTTCAAGCTTATAGCAGTACACAATAAATGTATTTTTTTTACTAGTCTTTATGCACCTGTGTATACAGGCCCATTAAATACAATGGGCTACATTTAGGTTAATAAAAAAAATGCTTGAATGCCTACAAACATGGCATTTTTCAGATTGCCTGTACAAGAGGTCTAAGGAAATTGTTTAGTGTCACTTTAAATCTTGCAATAATTTTATTGACAAACTTTTGGCAAAATAGTAATCCTGTGGCCTAGAATATGAAATTCTAACATTCACTGTTTTGCAAAAATAAAAAAACAACTGGAATAAAAATCACCTTGATTTGCTCCTTGTGTGCGCACTGTGCTCAGCTCCCTTGCCAGTTGCGTTCATTAACCTTGCTAGGAGACCCCCTCGGCTGGTGACAAGTCATTTGAAGGTTAAGTACAGTATGCATAAGGAGATAAGTCTCCTGGCACACCATACACACACAGCAGCTTAACTCCATCCGTGCTGAGCAGGGACACAGATGGGACACCGAGCTCGTCTCTGCCTGCAGAAGTGCTGTTGGAGATGACGGGGGCTCCAGGTTTGTCTCCATCAGAGCAGAAATGAAAATAACTGATTTACTAAGTGGATCATTTGCAGTTCCGATAAAATGCATCCTTCTAAATAAAACAGGAATAATTGTTTGGTGCAGGGCACCTAAAGAGGAACTTCACTCTGCTTAACAACCCGGAAAAAAAATCCTTAAGATTCGCCCACCTTGTTTAAGAAAATTTTGATATCCTTCTTCTTTGAATTTTCCCATCACTATGGTAATAAATGATCAGAGAAAATCCAAAATTGTTACAAAAACAATCATTTTCAAATTAAATTCTACTGGTGTATGGCCAGCTTTAGAGTTCATTTAAAGTGTTACTAAACCCACAACAGTAAAATCAGTCTGTATATGCAGTAAAGCTTGCTTGTTATACTCACTGAGGAACCTAAGGGGTTAATCCTCTGCATTGTGTAAAAAAGCCGTTTGATCCCGTCTTCTCTGTTCCTCCCCTTGTTCAAATGTCCATGTCTTATCTCCTGATAAGACAGACTGATCCTGTAGCGACATGCACTTGTTCAGTTTAGTTTGTATTGCTAGAGAGGTTTTTTTTTTCTTGGGAGAGTGAATGTGATCAGCAAAGAGCCAATCAGTACTGTCCAGACAGAGGTCAGGGGTTCTGCATCCTCCTAGAGCAGAAAGAAAACTCATCCTACAAACTTTAACCAGTGCTCGGCTGGGAAACTGATAGACGTTACAAGACTGCTCTAACTGCTGATGAGAAAAGGTATTTAGCAGTTTATATTTGCTAAAATATTTGCATTTCCATGTTGTGTGTACTGTGGGAGACCAGATATAGTGAATGCGGGGTCCGGGGAGACCAGATATAGTGAATGCAGGGTCCGTGGAGACCAGATATAGTGAATGCAGGGTCTGGAGAGACCAGATATAGTGAATGCAGGGTCTGGAGAGACTAGATATAGTGAATGCAGGGTCTGGAGAGACTAGATATAGTGAATGCGGGGTCTGGGGATTAGTAACACTTTAAGTATGGATAAATATGGGATCTTGTACCATACTGAAAGATGTGTCAAGGTTTAGCCAATGTTAGGAACTTTATTTATCACAAAAAGTGTTACCTGTAGGCCTTTCTTGTTTTACACAGGAGGCTGCTGGGGCAGTAAAAAACAGGCAGTTGAGCTGTTTTACCACCTACCTAAAGTTCACAATAAAGCTGGATGGGACCTGTTCACATGCTGCAGCCATTATGCTTTGCACCATGGAAAATTGAATGCACCAGGTGGAACTGCCTGTCAAAAATGGCCATCCAACGTAATGGATTTGCTCCAAAACCGCAAGCCAATGGTTTCATTTTATGCTCCCCAAAATGACTATTCAGTCACTGCTTCTCCAAAATATCAAAGCATTTTGTCGGCTCTCTCATGATGAACTACATATCGGGAAAGTTTCTGTAGTCCAGAATCAGAAATCTAGGCATAGGCAGCACAATGGCTTAGGGCAGTGGTGGGCAACCTTTTTTTTCAACTGAGCCAAATCTCGCCAAAACCACGATTGAAATTTATTTTGAGAGACACATTTTTAAAACTGAAAATACATCTCCCATATAGTAATTCATCCCCCATAGTAATTCATCCCCCATATAGTAATTCATCCCCCATAGAGTAATTCATCCCCCATAGAGTAATTCATCCCCCATATAGTAATTCATCCCCCATATAGCAATTCATCCCCCATAGCAATTCATCCCCCATATAGTAAATTCATCCCCCATATAGTAATTCATCCCCCATAGTAGTAATTCATCCCCCATATTAATTCATCCCCCACAGTAATTCATCCCCCATATAGTAATTCATCCCCCCATAGTAATTCATCCCCCATAGTAATTCATCCCCCATATAGTAATTCATCCCCCATAGTAATTCATCCCCCATAGTAATTCATCCCCCATATAGTAATTCATCCCCCATATAGTAATTCATCCCCCCATCCCCCATATAGTAATTCATCCCCCATAGTAATTCATCCCCCATATAGTAATTCATCCCCCATATAGTAATTCATCCCCCATAGTAATTCATCCCCCATAGTAATTCATCCCCCTATAGTAATTCATCTCCCATATAGTAATTCATCTCCCATATAGTAATTCATCCCCCATATAGTAATTCATCCCCCATATAGTAAGTCCCCCCCCATATAGTAAGTCCCCCCCCATATAGTAAGTCCCCCCCCCATATAGTAAGTCCCCCATATAGTAATTCATCCCCCATATAGTAAGTCCCCCCCCATATAGTAAGTCCCCCCATATAGTAAGTCCCCCCATATAGTAATTCATCCCCCATATAGTAAGTCCCCCCTGTGTCAATTCACTTACCTTTGCTCCGCGCGTTCCTCTCGCCGTGCTTCCCGCGCCGTTCTGGTCTTCAGGGCGGACTGTGAGAGGAGAGGAGTTCGTCACGCTGCCCCGCCTACATCCTGGCTGCCCCGCCTACATCCTGACAGCTGCAGAGTCCTGACTTTTGGGGCGGGCCGCCCGAGAGGAGGGAGGGGAGCGGGCGGGCGGCCGGCCCGAGAGGAGGGACGGGAGGGGAGGGGAGGTGAGGGGGCGGCCGCCCTGCACAAGCCCGTCCGAGAGGAGGGAGGGGAGCGGGCGCACCCGGCACACAGAAGAGCCGCATTTAAGCTTGTAAAAAGCCGCATGTGGCTCGCGAGCCGCGGCTTGCCGACCACTGGCTTAGGGGACTTGGTTCAAAACCTAGTCAGGACACAGCATGGAGTTTGCATGTTCTCCCTGTATTAATGTGGGTTTTCTCTGGATACCCCAAAGACATGCTGGAAAGTTAATCAGTCTTAGTATGTATATATGTAAGATGGGAACCTTAGATTGTAAGCTCCTTGAGGGCAGGGACTGATATCAATGTACAGAATGTAAAGTGCTGCACTAACTGTCGGCCCAGACATACACTTTAAGAGAGGATTTGTCTCTTGGTTATGTCTCTTTGCACATCTGCTGTACACTTTCCTATTGAGCAATGTTTCCATGCACATTCTGACTAGGTGGGTAGGATATTTGCCTTGCAGCACCAGGTTTCGGGTTAGGTACCTGTCTGCCTGCTCTCCCTGGATCTGTACAGATCTCAGCCGGGTGTTCCATTTTCCTGCCACATTGTAAAAATATACTAATAGATTAGCTTGAATATACGTACATTTGCTCTGCTGTGTGTGTGCATGGCTTTGGTAGAGACATTAGATTGTAAGCTGTGTAGGAGAATAGAAAGATGTGGCTGGTTTAAAGGTTTTACAAATGCTCTAAAGTCTGAATCTATGTGTCAGATATAAAACAGCAACTTAAAGCGATATTAAACCCAAAACCAAAAATGTAATATATTGCAGCTTACCAATCCGTAGATGTGATGGCGGCAGGGGCAGACTGACCATTTGGAAATTCAGGCACTGCCCGAGGGCCCGGGGTCAGTAGGGGGCCCCATGAGATGCCCCTGGTACCTTTTTCATAGGCTTTTTTGAGTTTGGGCAAGGACACAGGGGCCCCATGATCCCCTATTGCCCAGGGGCCCCATGAGTTGTCAGTCCGCCCCTGGATGGCGGCACTCATTTTCTTTTTTTTTATATTTTTTCCCTTCTGTTTTCACCTGGTGGTCTGGCCAATAACACACCTCCTGTATTAGTGAGACACCACAGTGGAGGAAGGAGCACAGGAGGCACAACAGACAGCAGTATTATCAGTCTGGGAGGTGGGGAGTGTTCGGCGTACTTGCAGATTTAAATGCACTGACAAAGTGAAGCCAAACTCCAGCTCACACTTTATAAGCGGTTACAGTAAAAGTTTTTTTTTTCCTTTTGGGATGCATAAAAAAAACCGATCATTGTGAGCACCCCAGTCAGTGGTAAATGGTTTGTCTCATTCTTGTAACTGATACAATCTACCAGAGAGCTTGTTCTGTTGAGAAACAACAGATTTACTGGCAGGATCACCAGTCGAAAATAAAGGAAAGAATGCCTACAAAAGAACACTAATGCAGCCACCACATCTAAGAACTGATAAGCTGCAATATAATAAATGTAATGTATTGTACAGCGCTGAGCAAACCATTGGCGCTTTATAAATAATGTATAATAATAATAATAAATGTTTGCTTTGGGGTTTAATAACGATTCAATATAATCTGTGACTTACTGTTTGATGTAATAAGTTCTACTAATGGACCAATTATAAACTGCAATGAAAACCTGATTTTATGATCTGAGGTTATTGAGAACAGAACCATCTTTTGAACAAAATGTAAATGTTCCAAAATAGATGAGGAGGCAACACAATGGAGTGCTGATTGACCTGCAAAGCCAATACATTTTCAGGAACAACTGAGTAGTGCCATCTACTGGCCACATTGGAAAATGTCACTTTGTAACTTACATTATCTCTCCATGAACTCCCGAGCAACAGCTGGAGGTGGTGGACCTGCCTCAGGCCAAGTCATCATTTATAACCCAGTTATAAGGAAAATTCTGCAATAAAGAGATACTTGCAAATCCACAGTTCAAGAAAAATTTTGTTTACATCGCATCATAAAATACTTGGAAATCTCCCAAGACTCCTGGAAGACTAGAGTTGAAGCCAATGAAGAAGTATACATGGCCTGGTGACATCTGGCAAAAGACAATGACAGTGTTTTTCTTTGGAACCTCCCAACAATCAGTCATAAAGGTTTAAGGATGATATCCTCCAACAAGACCTTGGAGTTCTGCCAGCATTGTTGGAAATATATTTTGTATCAGAGCATTCCAGATGGAAACCTCAGGCCCTTAGCTCTTGGGCTGAACTGAAAGATATATGGAGCCAGGGGCGGACTGACCATTTGGAAACTTGGGCACTGCCCGGGGTCAGTAGGGGGCCCCATGAGATGCCCCTGGTACCTTTTTCATAGGCTTTTTTGAGTTTGGGCAAGGACACAGGGGCCCCATGATCCCCTATTGCTTGGGGGCCCCATGAATTGTCATTCTGCCGCTGTATGGAGCATGGATGAGATGGTGATGTCACGATCTCTACTTTGTCCAATCAGAGAATGCCTTATATTCTTTGAAAAAAATACCAGGCGTTCTGGAGAATGGCGGCAGTGCTGAGTGAGCGACCCCCGGTGGTCAGTGTGCAAAGGGGAAGCTGCTTGACACAGGACCGGGAAGATTGCTCTCATCACTGTAGTAGTGCTGACTACTACAGTGATTGTCCATTTTCCCCATCAGTCACTTAGGTATGAGATATCCATTAGTACAAGTTGGACCAATGTAAGGAAACAATACAGATCATTCCTGGAGTTCCGCTTTAAGGAAATGTGTCCAATATGATACAGCAAGGATGCAGATTTTCTAGCATTCGTCCAGATGTTGTTCTGTGTATAGTGATACATCTAACCTCAAACTGGATCACGGTTTATTTACCTGCACGTCATTAAGCGTAGAACCGCAGTCACTTCTGTACATGTCTCTACAAGATAATGGTTGGATCTCTGTGTCTGCAGACAGGTAGTAAATGATTATATAGCTGCATATAGAAAAAGTGCAAAGTTTATAAAAGTGTGCTGTAACCTTGTCCTTAGCCAAAGCAAAGATAGCAATACAAGGCCTGTATATGACTGATGTATACATCTGAGAGCAACAATGTGCTTGATTCATGTGCAAACTCTTAATAAACTCCTTTTGTGTGGAAGCAAAGTGTTTCCTGGTGCATTCAATATGAAAAGCTCTGATGTGTAAATGCAAATACTCTGTATAAGATCATACAATCTTTATCTCTGTGTAGACTCCATGTGCAGATAAATATTAGATCTTCTACTAGAGAGATTCAGTTTAACTATTACCTTAATATACGTGTTTCTAAAAAAAGAGACCTGTGTAATCCTTCTATTAAATGCAAAATTGGGAAATTAGGAATAATATGCAAGTCTAGGGGAATACTATACAACTCTAGGGGAATACTGTGCAAGTCTTTGAGAATGCAAGTCTAGGGCAATCAAAGTCTATGGGAAAACCATACAAGTCTATGAGAATGCAAGTC